ACCTGCCTTTTGGTAATTATACCAATTAGATTGGAGAACCATTTATCAGGGTGCCAATTCAGTAAATTCTATACTTTCTGGAACTTAACAAAATGGTCTAAATTGGACTGACTAAATAACTCTTAAGCTCCTAGGCACTTTAGTTGACTTGATCATGTAGCGTGACAACAATTTCCTACTCTATGAACTAGGGTTATAGCTAGTGAAAGAAATAGTTCATTCATTTAGTTTGCTTTGCCATTTGAATTTGAAAACTAAAAACTTTAACCAAAAAATATCGGCGTGGAATCCTACTTTTAATTTTGTTTAAAAACTGATTTCAGTGAACATTTCCTTTTAGTTGATGCTTGAATTTAAAGGTTAATTAACTTAGTGATTCTTGAGTTGGTAGACATGTAATTGTTGTTGATTGAAATTTTTTTCACTGCCACATTTTTTTGAAGATACAGAAGAATGAAGTAAGAATTGCAGGCATTCAAGAACACTGGAAACTTAAAAAACCTTTATAATAAAATTATTGCTAAAAAGGAGTTCCCATTTTTTAAAATTACTCAATCTAAAGAACTTTCTAAAGTGATTTTTCTAACATCTATTAAAGAATGGAGATGTTCCTCAAGTGCTTTAACCACTCGTTGAGGATAAGGGTATGAAATTCTTCAGTCACTCAGAGTTACTATACTTAGTCACACTGCACATTATTGAGCAGAACACCAAGAGGTGGTAGAGTAAACCTTCAAAAACACAACTCTTCATTGAATTTTTATAACTGATCTTTAGAGTATTATAATTATAACTAATACAAATATGAAACAATACACTTCTGAAACAGAATAGTTTTGCTGAGAAATCTCCAAGCCATTTTTTTCTGTTGCCAGTATCTAAATATACAAATGTGTTTACTAAGTCACATGAGATGTTGGTGTTGGTCAAAGACATTCCATCAGTTGTTTTAAGTGAAAGATATACTTAGATATTAAGTAGTCAGTTAAATAATTATTTTTTACTCAAATTAGCTCTTTTTAAAATTACATAGTTCAGCACTATGGGTGTCAATGTAGCGCTTTTTCTGAGATACATAATATATTGCAAAATTAAATTCAAATAATGTAAAGGAGTTCCTATGCATTTTTACAGTGCAACAAAGTGATACTCACAGGTTGGGGAGAAGTGAGAAGAATTAAAATCTCGATTGAATTTGAAGAGACATATATGATGAGGAGATGTGAGAGACAACCCATGAGGAAATGAGTGGTCCACTAATTGAAAACAAGTTTTGTAAATAATGTTGGAAGAGATTAACATACATCACCATAGCAGATCAAATATCAGAAGAAATGACTATAACACAAGAACCAAAATAATCAAATAATTTCAGTATCAAATTTAAAATTTTAATCAATTGTAAATTATATACACACAAATTAGTTTGCTTGCAAAAGTCAAAGAAAGCCTATTTTGCTTAATTATAGTCCTTGTAAACATTTCTCTCTACATCTATTTACTCTTATGACTTGCAGCAGCAAGAAAACCCTTTAAAGTCAATATACTTAATATCCATAAGGAGAGAAGACTTAAGTTAGTTTTTAATCAATTTAAAGCAGTTTAACATATACTTGAGGATCTACTACGCTACAAATATTCTTCTGAGGACTTCAGGGAGTATAAATATGAACATGAAGCACTCCTTACAGCAGCTTACAATCTGAGAACTAAGGTAGAAGGAGTTTATATATGAATGAATTACATGGTAGAATAAGGTGAGTGCCAAGTACAAAATGGTATAAAAGGGTTTACCAGAAACAACAATTATCTTAGGTGGTTAGGCGGGATCAAGAAAAATATCCAAAAGGAAGTGGATCTCTGCACGTTTGTCCACTTATTCATAGCCAACAATGGCGAAAATGTGGAACATGATGAAGAAAGAGCTTATGGCCAAGACGGGTTGAAGTGTAGTGCAGCTGGTAAGGGGAAGCAGAAAATAAGGCAAGAAAGATAGATTGGAGTTAAATTGAAGGGCTTTGAATGCTAGGTTGACAATTATTAGCCAAAAAAATGACACTGCCTCTTCCATCACAGAATAGACGACAGTAGACCATTCTATGAGATGCACGTTGAAAAAAAATTTAGAGAGTATGATGTGACCTCTGAGGAATTTAATCATCAAACATTTATTGAAGACCTATTATGTGCCAGGACTGCTTTGATTGTGAAATTTGTGTTGTGAAAGAAGACTGCAGAAATACAAAGTAAAATCCTACTCATTAAATGGTTCAAAAGTGAGTGAGAAAGGACACTTCCAGAAGTGCTATGTAAACAATTTAGGATACTATCAGGAAACAGGGGATGTTTGGGTTATCTATTACCATGTAAGAAGAAACCCCAAAGCAGTGGTGTTGTGAGTTGGATTGTGTCCCCACAGATTCGTATGCTGAAATCCCAATCCCAAGTACCTCAGAATATGACTGTACTTGGAGTGTTAAAATACCTTAAAATGGAACCAAGGCCTAAAGAATCTCTGAGAAGATGAAACCAGTGAGGCCTCATAAATGACTTAAACCTTGCTTGATTTGCAAACATCAGAGAAACTTAAGTTGGGCTACTTCTTGTAAATGCCTGTATTAAAGAAAAGCAGAACTTAAGCTCAACCAATCAGAAGTAGCCAATAAACTTTTACTTGTAAAACCAGAGACTTTCCAATGGGATAGGCCAAAGAAGGCAATTGTATAATTGTGCTCAATCAAATATTTTCTTTGCTTTCCCTCTGTATTCATCCTATAAAAGCCTCCTCCTTGCATTTCCTCATTGGAGCTCTTGAACCACTTCTGGTTTGGAACTACCCAATTCATGAATTGCTGCTTGCTCAAATAAACTCTTTAAGGTTTTATTGAGCCTTGGTTTACTCTTTATCAAGAGTAGGGTATTTAAAGAGTCAATTAAGTTAAAATGTGGTTGTATGGGTAGCTCTAGTCCAATATGACTGGCATTCTTATAAGAAGAAGAAATTAAGCACAGACACACACAGAGGAAAGACCATTGGGAAGATGTAAGGAGAAGACAGCAATCTATAAGCCAAGAAGACAGGCCATAGGGAAAACGAACCCTTCTGACACTTTGACTTCAAACTTCTAGCCTCCAAAACTGTGAGAAAATCAAGTTCTGTTGTTTAAGTCACCCAGTCTGTGGTACTTTGTTGTATCAGCTCCATGGTTCTTGGGTCTGGTCTTTAAATTCTTGGTTCTGCTTCTGAATTATCCTTCCTCTTCCATAATATGTAGCATGTGTTTGATGAAGTAGTTTTCTCAGTCTGCTTCCTGCTTGTATAAATCTGGAGTCTAAAGACCCCTTTTCATTTTTTAATGTCTCTGCTCTTACAGTCCAAACTGGCAGTGTTACTCCATGAATAAATGTTTTAAAAATATTGAGTTTGCATCATTATGTAAAAGCCATATCTATACAACAACAGATGATGTGAGTCATCTGAACACTGGAGGATCTGCTTCTAAGATGGCTGACTCACACAGCAGGCAAGGTGGTGCTCTGTCAGCTGGAAAGCATAGCCATGACTGGGGAGTGAGAACTTCAGTTTCTTTCAACATGGGCTGGTCCAAGTAGCCTGGGTTACTTAGCTCATTTCCAGGGTGATCATTTTAAGAGAAGGAGAGAAAAAGAGACAGAGAGAGAGGGAGAAAAGAGAGAGAGAGGGAGGAAAGAGAGAGAGAGAGAGAGCACACTAGCACCAGGTGGATGCACTATCCCCCTTTATTGCCTAGCCTTATATGTCACACAGCTTTGCTTCTGCCATGCCCTGTCAGCTGAAAAAGTCAAAAAGTCATGAGGACCCATGCAGGTTCAGAGCAAAATACATACATTCAACTTCTTGAGGGAGCAGGGGCAACACTCTAGAAGAGGATATGGGTCCAGACATACGATGGCCATGTTTGGAATTCTGCTCTCCAGTGCGCTTTGTATTGAGTATCTGTTCCAGAATGAACGTGCAAATCAAGAAATGCTTGAGTGAAGACAATATTTTAGCTTTATTATATTTAGCTATGTAATAGAATATTAATAATAAATTATTAATCAAGGTCATATATTTTGGGAGCTTTTTAGGCTTCATTTCATTTAATGCTAACGATAATCCAAAAAGGTAGATTTTATTATTCTTTATGGTAGATGAAGTAACTGAGGCTTAGAAATGCTATTTAGTTTGGTATTTAATTACTAAAGTTTGCATTACTGTGGTAGTTCCTAGAATATGTTCAAATGCTGATGAAACTAACCCTATAGCTATAGAGATACATGTTTTAGGAAAGATGGATAACTGTAGGAATAAAGTTCTTGAGTTGACAAAAAAAGGGATGAGATCTAGTGTATCATTGGAAGTTTTGGCCATAGCAATAAAGTTCATCTGTTGTAACAGGTGGAAAATGGAGTTCTTGGGCATAGATAAAGATAATTAGGTAGAATTGTTAGTGATAAAATGAAGTATTTTGTTTTATGACAGCATCCATTTCCTCAGTGAAATAAGAAGTAAGACTATCAGCTGAGGCATGGTTATCAAAGTTTGACCATGGAACCATTATGAAATAGTCAAGTTTGGGAGTGGAGGATGGGGGTAGCAAGAGGATGGTGGAGCTGTGCTGAGCATCTTCTTGAGGTCTGTGGTCACGAATTTATCTGAGACCAGTCACTGAAGTCAGGTGTTTTTCTCTAGTGATAGTCCACTGCTGGGTTTAGATGCAAAACAGGAAGAACATTTAAATTTAACCAGTGGCGTAATTTTTGAAATAGCATGAAGAGTAAGAGAGGGAAAGATATTTTAGAAATGTATAAATAAATAATTTTTGTGATTGGTCTCATGATCTAACTAAGGAAAAGTAGAAAGTCAAATGCGACAAATGACAAAACAGAAAAAAAAAATGGAGGTCCCGGTGTAGTGAAAACATTTGGGAATAAAGTAAAGTAAACTCCATAGTCATAACAAAGAGATCAGTGAGTACCTTTAGAGTCTTATTCCTTCCTTTTGGTCCTCCTTCCAAATGGAAACAGTTTTTTGTCTTCGCTGTTGTTGTTTTGGTCTGAGGACGTTCTTTTCCTTTGCAAATCATAAGTGTAAGAGAATTAATACCTTTCTGAATAGACCGCAGCCAAGGACTACTGGCAGTTATAAATACTCCAAATCCCTCTCCCTTAGGTGTGATAAATCTGAGACTGTGTCTTATACCATGTCCCAAACTTCCCCAGTTGGATTAGGCTTCAGCCAGCCAGGTGGGAACTTGCTTGACAATGCCCCTTTAATTGACTCTATCTCTTTCCTGTCTTGCTTCCTCGCTCCCTACTAGTGTTCCCTGTAATCATTTCCCAAATAAACTAATTCTATTCAAGTCGTATTTCAAGGCCTGCTTTCTCAGGGGACCCAACTACCAACTCCTCCTTTGAGCCTCTAGAGCTCCTCTCAAAACACTTAACAAAATACACTTTGTGGTTTCTTACTTGTCCATCTCTCCATTAGACTGTTTCCCCACCAAAGGAAAAGTATGTCTCCACCTTTCTGGCTCCCTCTCCTAGAACAGTTCCTGCTATGTAAAAAGAACAACTTAAATATACAGTAAATGGAACAGAATACTCAATTAAAATGGATGGTTTTGCTGACTAAGGATTGGAAGTATCTTCTTAACTCGTTGAGGCAAAACTAGATAGGGTTCAGTATAACATGAAAGTTATTTGTAGTATATTCTTGACAGAGTAATTCTTTGAAATTGATAATCCACAGAAGAATGTCAAGTCTAAGATTTTTGACCAGTCAAAATATATCACTCTTTTTAGATTGCTAAATTTGATGGAGTTGAATAATATAATATGGTCTCCTCAGATACATATTTAACAAAGCTAAGGAGTTGTGTGTTATATATTTATCATTTTTCCCTAAGCTGTTTATTCTATGAATTCTTTTAACATCAGCAACACAGAAATAACTGTAGGAAAATTTTTGTTTTTTGCATCATAAACACCTAACATGGAAGATGCTGAATAAATATTCATGGAATAAATATTCTTGTGACAAAGATTATCATTTTAAAATAAATTATTGTTGGAATAGATTAAACTGATGTTAAAATTAGGAAATAAAAGCACAGTATTAAGCTCTTTATATCTTTTTCTTAAATTGTGATTTGACTATCATCTAAGTAACTGCTATTTATATACCTGTTTGCTACTGCTAATTACTTTATAAATTTCAATCATTCTGATGGCTAAATATCACAATTGTTGTGTAACTAACTCAACCAAAAGCCATACTCACTGTGATACAGATATATTGGTGACAACGCTTATTTGCATTTGCAAATCTCAACAACTGCTCAAGTATCTGCTTTCTAGCAATTAGGCAGCTGCTACTTAAAATCAATAGTGGTAAACTCTGGTTGTATTTGGTTTGGAAACGAAGTGTTGTCTTGTGCAGCATTCTGGTACTTTGCAGCGTATTAATGAAGTCACTTTGCTTCATGCTGTTGTATCGCAGCTACTTGGCATCCTTTCCTCCTCAGCTGGCTATTGCATTACTTCATCTATTTTCCTTTCATCCTTTGTCTCATTCACAGGCTTTGCCTTTGAATGGTTTTGAATTTCCCTTGTCAAGAGTTAATTTACACTTTTTAAAAATGTATAGCTATGAAGCCTGACCTGGTTGAAATATGTTGGATAATTTATTAACAAAAGCTGCATATGAACTATTTAGGAGTTCCATTTGAATTTCCTAAACAGTTGGGGAATTAGCTTCATGGAGGGCACAGGTATGTATGGGAAAAACTAGCAGGCAAGTGGACGTTAATTGACTGAAAAGATAGCTTCAGTCATACTGGCTTCAGTACAAGTAAAACAATCAGTTTTGAGTGATGAATTATATCTAACCATGTGCTAATAATTGAAATATGTACAAAATACTCTTATATCAAATCTCCTGTAAGCATTGCCTTGTAATGTTATGGCTCATACTTCAGTGCAAATTTTTGCCTTGTTATGGTGTTTGTGTAAGTTCTCTTAGTATAGAAACATGTTTTAGAATTATAGTACAAAAAATAGCTTAAAAATATAGTGATGGAGTTAAACTAAATGCTGTTGGAATACTGCTCTACAGTTTTTAAAGACACCATGCTCTCTCATACCAGTGTACCTTTTTTGCACATGGTATTTTTTTTTAAATTTACTTCTCTCACCACAAGCCCCATCTCCTGCCCACCCTAGGATATTCTGCATTTCTTTTCAAATCTCTGCACAATCTCCCAAGCAAAATGAGACAGTCCATTCATCTTCCTTAATCCCATTTTACTTGTCTATGAAAGACAGGATAATACATGCCATGGAATTAACTATGTAATAAAGGCTTTAGTAGGATGACAAATGCTCAAACTCAAAAGTCCCTAATTTTGTTAAGTATATATCTGAAGAGACAATATTGTACTTTCTCACCAATTCTCACTATTTTACATAATTAGGCTCACTAAATAAATATCTAAAGGCATTGCTTTGCAGATATGTCACATAAAGTCTCCTAAATCATTTCACTTTAATCCAGGATTTAATATTACTATGTTGCTCTACAAACTTTGGGCTGTATCCTTTTAGAACATTTTGTAACTTTTTTTCTTCATTACCTGAAATCTCACTATTTTTCTTCTGGATCTTCATCCTTTTCCCTAAGTCGACCATATAAGCTAACTTAAAAGTAGTTAAGAGCTGTAATGAGAGGCATATAACAATTTCTTTTCTGCTACAAACGCTGGAAGTAGTTGCATGAAGTTTTGGTTGACCATATCTCAAAATCACAGTCTTAATGCCCATCACAGCAAAATGAGATGTTATCTGCAATAGAAAAACTTTAAAAAAAAATACAGAATATACAGACCCCTCTTATGTATTTGATTATGTGAATGTTTTCTTTCCCTTCCTAATTTAAGGATACCAAATAAAACATTAAGGAACTTAAAGAAGATAATATTTGCTTGCTTCTCATCGTGCAAGAAATCCCATTATAGTGGCCATTGAATAAATGAATTACAGTGAGGCTTAGAGTTGCTCTGAGTTTGGAGATTTCAATACTTTACAGAGGTAGTCTACTCAAAGTATGCCAATTTTTCACATTTTGTTTTTAGGGTAGGGATTCATGCCTATCTTGGAACCGTGACTGCAGTAATTGGAAAACAATTGGCTCTTTAAACATTCTTCTACTATTGCTCAAACTATAGGTCTATAAAATGTATAGACTTGAATAATTTAAAAATATTGTATGTTAGGCTTTAGAAATCAAGCTTGAGCTGGACTAAGGGTTTCCTAAATTTAAAGGTTGAAAGCCTTCACTAACAATATCATGATGATTAAAAACAATACACTTGAATTTGGAGTTGAGCATAGAAATCATTCAATCAACTAGAAAATCATGGGAACAAGAAAGTAACTTTTATGCATTTCTTAACCAAATCTTCTCTATTCTCTATATGCATCAATAATAACTCAAGTATTTGATTTAGGAATGTGTCTATTTTGTAATGAGCTGCTTCACAGTGGAAAAAAAAAAAGGTGGGGAAAGCTGAAACTGATTTGCTAACATCTTAGACTGTAGTCCATCAGAAATGCAAATGTGAAATTTCCTGAAGTTATGATAAGCTTCATAGACAAAACAATGGCTTTCATAGAAGACAATTTGAAGCATTCAGGAACCAGAAAGTTGGCTTTGGATGATTAGAGATGCAAGGAAGAATGGCAGAAGTATCAGTTGAATGAAGGTGTGTTTATTCAGCTTATATAAAGTCATAGCCAGCCATCTTACAGGTTTTACTAAATTTGAATTTCCTCAAGTCTAAAATATTTTCATTCTCATAGCATAAAGCACTAACTTTAAGTGCATGTGTGTGTGTGTATTAATCTGATCATATTGAAATGCAGGTAGATATTTGGCTCCACAATGTCTATTTACTTAACCTTGGCACTCATCACACAAACCAGCTTGTCCCCTATTTTCATCCGTAGCACCATCAGGTTTCTTTGAAGTCTAAGAGCCTGGCTGCCAAGGTAATTCTAGCTTTGGGAAGCATCACACAGTTGAGACACAGAGTTGGAAATCAGTTAAATATTGAGTTGGGATAGGTTGACAGAAATAGGGAATTGTCTGAGGATTAGTACAGATTGCAGTGATTATTTCAGAAACAATTTAAGTTCTCTGATTTAAGCCTTCTGCTGGTTGTTAAGGATTGACAGAATAGATTTATTTGTTTGTCCATTCATTCATTTATTCAACATTTGCTTAAAGGAGTACTTCTTGTAATAGAGAGATGGACAAGCTCCGGAGACTGGAGCCACAGGTGAGTGGAGGTGGGTGGGTGGAATGGCGGGGAGGGTCAATACCCAAAACCTTTGTTGCATCTTTTTAATTTACACGTGTATGACAATGTAAGAGGCAGACACTTTTTTAAAAAGGTGTGATCTTGCAAGATTAACATGTGCACTGGAAAATTACGTGGGGTAGAGAAGGGAGTTTCTCAGTAGAAGGAAGGGTGCTGGTGAAGTTGTCAAAGTTCCCCACCACCTAGTGTATCTATGGGTAACTAGAACAGGTTACTAGGTTGAAGCTTGGGAGGTCACAGGAACAGGTCACATTGGACAGCAAAGTGTATGCACATGTCACCGAAGCACTTTAATCGTAGTGCCGTCCCTCCAAGTACGAGTGATGAGGATTTCCCTGACACACGAGGCTCTTGCAGGAGTTAATTTTACTTCACTCTCTGTTTCTTGGTCTTCTAAATGCTTTGAACCATTAAAGGGAAGTGGAGAATGGCCATGCCAAGTGGCCTGTATAAAAAGTAAGCAAAGTCATGGGGCCAGAATGCCATTTTTCTGAATGAACCGCAAATGGCATGCTGTTGATGGAAAACCACTAAAGATAGAAGAAGTATGGAGGTAAGCACAAAAATCAGGCATTGGCTTGGCTTCCACCATTGATGAGACTCCCATTCAATGATTTCACACAGCCCCTGGGCTGGCCACCAAAACTGTCTCCTCATTTCTCTCCATGCTGACCTGCTGCTCCCCTCAGCCACT